GGGATGGAAAAATACTATAAACAAATATTTTAATTAACAGGAGTGATGTTTAGCAAGCATTAACTAATATTATAAACTGGCTGTGTGTGATGACCTGTGTGCAATTATATGAAGAAACCTTTACAAGAAATGTTAACTGAAGGTCTCAGATGGTGTAAGATATTACCCGTGTAGAGCAGTGTGGTTTTCTGTCAATTGTGTCAACTTCCTTTTTTCCTATGTGTGAGGTCTCAAGACATGAACTTCCCTCTTTTAGTGTGTTAAAGATAGATAAGAAGTCATCCATCGGGTTAGGCGTGGGTGGCAAGCTGTATAAGAACGACACGCTGGAAATAGCCCAGTGTTCAGAATCTGTCATGCTAATGCTCTGAACCATTGTGCACAAATAAACCTGTCTTCTTCAACCCTTTGTGGTCTTGTCTTCTGATGTAAGTATCGTGGTTTTTTCCACAACAGTTGAGGCCACCTGGAGGTTTGTCTGTGTCTTCAGGGTCACCTGAGTGGTGCAAATGGGTGTGCAGCCTTCTTGGAACCGCTGAAAGGACCGTGTTGTAGACTGGAGATAGACGATGTCGTGTCCCTCCCCCTCTGTTGAGAGCGGGCTGTTCAGTCTTGACCTAGATGGCCTCTTTGACCCTCTCTTTCAAACCTGTGGTCCTCTCTGTCCAAAGTCCACATTTTGGACTTTGCACTACTCAGGTGACCCTGAGGTCACAGATAAACCACCCGGTGGCCTCAACGACTTTCTAAAGGATGCAAATGACCGGCTGTCTGCAAGGAATGTAAAAACCCTCCCATTCCCCACCATGCAGTCAGAGCCGAAGAAGCTTCTTGGATGAGAAACGTCTTCAAAGAAGAACAAGGAAGTCCAGTGGCCTCATGCAAAAGCCTCCTTGGGACACGAATTCTCAAGTTGCCAAAGTTAGGGATCTCCGAAATAAGGTTTTCCTCACCGAGGGCCCCTGTGGAGTGGTGTATTAAGGCTGGAGAGTGTCTCCCTTGAAAGGGACTGAGGATCCTGCATGTGAAGCAGAAGAGAGGGGTTGGGGGTCTCCAGAAAGCTCTCTCACCCTTGGCTTTCCTTCCTGTCTTTAGATAGCAGAGGAGCACAGGAGCGTGGAGCAGAGCCAGCGGGCTCAGGCCGAGCCCATCAACCTGGACAGCTGCTTGCGGGCCTTCACCAGCGAGGAGGAGCTGGGCGAAGATGAAATGTACTATTGTTCCAAGTGCAGGACCCACTGCCTGGCCACCAAGAAGCTGGACCTGTGGAGGCTTCCCCCAATCCTGGTAGGCCGGCAGATTGTCTCTGGTCTGCCTTCAGCCAGGCCAAGCTGAGGAGGTTTCTGACCAGGACTGTCTTTCCTTTTCCTTTTCCTTTTCCCTTCCCTTCCTACATTTTCCTTCTCTTCCCTTCCTTTCCTACATTTCCCTTCCCTTCTCTTTGTTTCCTTTCCTTTCCTTTCCTTTCCTTTCCTTTACTTTACTTTACTTTACTTTACTTTCCCTTCCCTTCCTACATTTTCCTTTCCTTTTCCATTCCCTTCCTACATTTTCCTTTCCTTTTCCCTTCCATTCCTACATTTTCCTTCCCTTCCTTTCGTTTCCTTTCCTACATTTCCCTTTCCTTCCCTTCCCTTCCCTTCCTACATTTTCCTTCCCTTCCCTTCCTTTCCTTTCCTACATTTTCCTTTCCTTTCCTTTCCCTTCCTACATTTTCCTCTCCTCTCCTCTCCCCTCCTCTCCTCTCCTCTCCTCTCCTCTCTTCTCTTCTCTTCTCTTCTCTTCTCTTCTCCCCTCCCCTCCCCTCCCCTCCCCTTCCTTCCTCCCTCCCTCCCTCCCTCCCTCCCTTCCTTCCTTCCTTCCTTCCTTCCTTCCTTCCTGGGATGAAGGATCCACAGATTATATCATTTATGACTGTACTGAAGACTGCCCATTACAGTTGTAAAATAAGTCATTATGTGACCAACCCAATTTTGTGTTCCTTTTCGTGGCAGTCGCTAAATGAATCCGCCACCATTAAGCAAACCTCTCAGTCACTAAGCAAACCCACTGTTTGCTACGGGGTGTTTTTGCTGAAAAGCGGAGGTGCATGCCAGTTTGGGGCAAAAACATAAACTCCGATAAGGTGACAGCTGATTGCCGCAAAGAATGCAGCATTGCAGGCTGACTCTGCCCACTGCCAGCAGTTCGATCCTGACCAGCTCAAGGTTGACTCAGCCTTCCATCCTTCCATGGTCAGTAAAATGAGGATCCAGGTTGCTGGGGACCATATGCAAATAATGCTGACATTGTAAACCACCCCAAAAAAAATGCTGTAAACTCTGATTGCTATTGAAAAGACCTACAAATGTAGGCTGATTGCTGAGTGCATGAAATGCAGTCACAGGAACCAGGTTGTAACAACCTTTTGGGGGGAGGGGGTGTCTGTCATAACTTTGAACGGTCACTAAGCAGTCAATTGTAATTCAGGGACCAGCTGTCATGCCAAAAGGGCCTAGCAAACCTCTAAACCAGAGGTGTCCAACCTTGGCAACTCTACAACCTGTGGACTTCAACTCCCAGAATTCTGGGAAATGAAGTCCACAAGTCTTAAAGTTGCCAAGATGGACACCTCTGCCATAGATACTAGCCATACTCGCTGGCTGGGGAATTCTGGGAATTGAAGTCCACAAGGCTTAAAGTTGCCAAGATGGACACTTCTGCCAGACATGTTGGCTGGCTAGGGGATTATGGGAATTGAAGTCCACAAGGCTTATAAATGCCAAGGTTGGACACCTCTGCCATAGATGCTAGCCATGCTGGCTGGTTGGGGAATTCTGGGAATTGAAGTCCACAAGGCTTAAAGTTGCCAAGGTTGGACACCTCTGCCAGACATGTTGGCTGGCTAGGGGATTATGGGAATTGAAGTCCACAAGGCTTATAATTGCCACGGTTGGACTACCCCTGCCCTAAACGGAAGGCACTTGAGCAAGGAAGCCCTCAGCCGACTCCTCTCTTGCTTGTCTTGCTCCAGATCATTCACTTAAAGCGCTTCCAGTTTGTCAACGGCCGCTGGATAAAATCCCAAAAAATCGTCAAGTTTCCTCGGGAGAGCTTTGACCCAAGTGCCTTCCTCATGCCGCGAGATCCGAGCTGCTGGCCGCCAAAGCTGCTGACGCCGCAGGCTGACGATCCCACGGAGCCGCTGATTCTGCCGGAGGAGTCTCGGAGGGCGGAGCAGCGGGGCGGCACTGTGGCCGGGGAGGGTGACGTCCTGCTCACCCGGAGCCCGTCCTCCCTCAACGCTTCGGGCATCTTAAATAATGTCAGAGGTAGGAGACCGAGGTCTTGTCCCACAGGGCGCTGAATAAGAGTTGCTTGGACCCCGTGGGGAAGGGAATCTACAAGAAGTCCTCAACTTACGACCATTTCTATTGCTCAACAAGGCGGTCGTTAAACGAGTCACACCTAATTTTACAATCTTTTTTTGTTACGGTTGTTAAGTGAACCAGATGGTCATTAAGTGAATCCTGCTTCCCCATTGTCTTTGCTGGTCAGCAGCTGGCTGGGAAGGCCACATGACCCCCAGCAAGCTGCAACTGTCGTAAATACATGCTGGTTCCCCAGTGCCAGAATTTTGATCACCTGACTGGGGGGGAATGCTATGACAGACGTAAGTACGAGGACTTGTGTTAGAGCCATTGTAGCTTCAAACGGTTGCTAAATGAATTGTTGTAATGCAAGGACTACCTGTATCCCAACTCTTGAAGCCAACTTACAGCAGAACTGCAAAATAATAATAATAATAATAATAATAATAATAATAATAATAATAATAATAATAATAATAATAATAATAATAATAATAATAAGTAGTAGTAGTACTACTAGTAGTAGTCGTAGTAGTCGTAGTAGTCGTAGTAGTAGTAGTAGTTGGAAGGAATCTTGGAGGTCTTCTAGTACAACCCCCCGCTCAGGCAGGAAAACCCATACCATTTC